AAGCATCTGCCTAATCCACCGGATGCCACTGGGGCCGCTTGTGCGCCTAAAGCTAAGTGTGTGGGTCAGGGCTTTGCTGAGCTGGGAGGAGAATCCGTTTCCAGACTTGCCAATTTACTAACAACCTGGTTCCTTCCCCACCGAGCAGTAAGTATGTGGATTAGCATCGCTCCTGCACCTGCCACGGCACTATCATGGGGCCATGTTTGTTTCAGGTAAGAGGCAGGTTTCTGGCCAGTCCAGAAAAGATGTACTAGGAGCAGGGGCTAGCTCAGGGGTTCTCAAATGTTTGTACTGGCGACCCCTTTCACACACCAAGCCTCTGAGTGCAACTCCCCGCTCATAAATTAAAAGGGGGGGGATTTAATGTAATTTTAATTTCACGGGGGCCAAGGCTGTCAGCCCCGCTCCTGGCAGAGCTGGGCCTGTCAGCTCCCACCAGGCATAGGGCTGACAGCTTGCGACCCCCAGGTGATAACCTCACGACCCCCCCAGTTTGAGAACCCGTGGCTAGATCCTGCCGCTGACACGCTCCCTTTGCTAAACCGTCCTCCTGGCTTGGCGAACAGCCACTTCCCCTCCGAACGCTGGCTGTGGGGCCCGCCAAAATTCCTGTTTGGGGTGAATCAAAAGCCACTGGAGTCTTAGGCGCCATCCCTGGGATCCGCCAGAGGCCGGACCCAGGGCCGGTTCATACCCCCTGCAACCATGGGTCACACTCAGAGACACCTTTGCTCTGTATTTTTATTTCCCAGCAGCAGCCAAAGTAGCCTGGAGCTGGAAGAGCTGCAGCAAGGCCCCAGTGTCATGCTTCTAGGGCAGGGCAGGAAGAGCAAACGCCAACGCGGTTGCATGGGGCGCGGCTGGGGAATGGCAACAAAGGGACGGGCAGCCTCCAGCATCCTTCTGGCAGACTCAGTGCAGCCCAGGTAGGCCCCATCCAGCCGTAGGGCGTAACCTGCCCCATACCTGTAGAGCACATCTGACCCCCAAGCTGTAGCTTTAGGGATCACTGCTCCCCATAATGTAGACAGGTGAAAAGCAGCAACCCCGCACCAGGGATCCATCCCTCATGGACCAGCCCAGGCTCTGTGTTCTGGTTACAAGCCAGGCTGGAGCACGGCCCACATACTTGCTGGGTGGCACCATTTGATAGATACTGTCAACCCATTGGGTGTTGACCTCACCTAGCCGCTCTCCGTGGCACATCACCTGAGCCACGTGGTCTGCACCCAGCAAACGCCCAGCGCTGGCTCAGCGTGAAGGGCAGCCGTGCCCCAAATGTTGACAGAAAGTTTTGGGCAAGGGGGCAGGGCATGGGACGTGGCCCGATCAGAGAGCTGCTTGGTACTGCATTTTTCCTGGGGGCAACAGATTTCAATACACTGGGCCCCCCAATGGAAACTCTTGCAGGTCACCTTCATTTCACCTGTACCAGCCATGGCATAGTGAGCAGCATCGCGGCAAGAAGCCCACTAGGAGCCCAATGGAACAATCAGCCTGCTGCCCGTCATCTCCCTGCCACCGCGTGTGTGCCAGTGGAAAGGTGCCAGGAACCTAGCAGAGAATGGCAGTGGGACAAAGCCAGCGTGCTGCACGAGGCGACCCACCGTGGCCATGCCCTGGGCTGGCGCTGGGGTTCCCCGAGGATTTCACACGCGCTGGGTCAAGCCTCCCTCCGGTGTGTCTGCTTCCCCCGGCCAAGGCCTTCTGCTCTGGGAACGTCAACTCCGAAACAATGCCCGAGGTGGGGAGAGGTCCCCATGGCAGCCTCAGCGCAGGAGCCCCGTGTCCCAGGTGGCCCCAGCCAGCAAGCCGGGCCTGTACGCATGGGTGGGCACGCTCGCATCCGAGCCACACTTGAGTCTTTGTTAGGCCTTGTGGCCGGTGCGTGGCGGCTCTTGGGCACCAGCTGATGGGTGAGGGGAGGCTAACCGCTGCAGGGGACTGTAGAGGAGGGGTTCACACCAGACCACGACTAGGCTGTTTCCCAGTCCTTAGGTGGGGCGTTTTTAAGGCACACAGAGGCATGAACACTCAACCGCTAAGTAATAAGTCTCTGCTGCAGTGGCCTCCATCTGCACTGAGCCCAGCTCGGGGGGGCTGGCCTGCACGGGATGGGGCTCTGCTCAGGGTTAACCCTGCTGACCCCAGCCAGCTGAGCAGGGCGCGGGGGAGATAAGCGGGGCTGTTCCCGGCCAGAGCCCTATTCCCAGCAATGGTGGGGCGCAGAGGCCAGGATGGGGCTTAGCAGCCAGCACAGCAGAGTTAATTAGGGGCTTGTGCTGGGGTTTTATTGCCCAGTTAAACATTTAGTGCACCGCGGTGGGAGGGACGTGGCTGCGATGGCTGGAGCCTGCAAGAGCTCGTCCCAGCTCCGGCCTCTGCACCTGACTGTGCTAGAGAGTGCATGGGCCAGGGTGACACCCCTGGCCCCGCCGCCCTCCAGCAGCCCAGCCCCTGCCCCCCGTTGGCGTCTCCCTCGCTCCCTGCTCGCTGAGCGAGATTAGAGACTCCCCAGTTTAAAATCCAGCTGTGGATCTGGCCCTGAGCGTCATGGCTCACTGGGCAGAACCAGCTCCCTGGAACTGAAATCTCCTGCACTTGGTGGCTTGGCTGCACGAGGCGAGGGCTAAGGAAACCCCTAAGCCCTCACCCACATCAGATGAGAAATCAATTCAAAAGTGCCCTCCTGGGCCTTATTTCCCACACTCCCCCCGCCAGCCACAGGAGACCAGCAGCTCCCATCTACTCCAGTGGGCGTCCCAGGATGGGGCCCCAGCCCCTTCTCACAATCCCACCAGCTCTGTTGCAAAAGCCATCTCCTGTGCAGCTGCTGGCCCGAGGACACCCTTCACCCGCTCGGTCTGCACGTCTCCTCTGCTCAGCCACCTCCTCGCCCGTCCCGCGCTGTCTTTGTCTTCCCCACCCTCACGGCATTTGGATTCTGCTGCTGGCTTCCCCTCCTGTTCGTTGGCTGGAGAACAAATTGGTCCCACTGTATCGATGGCAGTTATTTCTATTGAGGTAGTGCCCGGAGGTTCCATCCCCAGCTGGCACCTCTTGCACTTGGCACTGTCCCCACACTGCGAGATGGCCCTTGCCCCAAAGAGCTTACAATCTAAGCAGGTGAGACAAAGGGGGAGGGGAAACTGAGGGTCACCAGCTGAGCTGGGAACAGAACCCAGGCCTCCTAACTCCCAGTCCAGTGCCCTGTCCACCAGACCCTACCACCTCCCTCTTGACGCCTGCCTTGTTGCAGGAGGTGGTTATTACCGGGTCAGAGACCAGGTAACACACCTGCCCCTTGTGAAAGTTTAACTAGGAACGGCTGAGTCAATGCAACTTTACCATGAAATGACCCCAGACACGGATGCTGCAGTAACTTGGGGCATCTGCGCTTCTGCTCTGTCTTCCGACAGTGACCAGTGCCAGGTGCCCCAGAGGGAATGAACAGAACAGGGAATCATCAAGTGATCCAACCCGTCACCCATTCCCAGCTTCTGGCAAACAGAGGCTGGGGACACCATTCCTGCCCATCCTGGCTAATAGCCATCGATGAACCTATCCTCCATGAACTGATCTAGTTCTTTTTTGAACCTTGTTATAGTCTTGGCCTTTACAACATCCTCTGGCAAGGCGTTCCACAGACTGACTGTGCGTTGTGTGAAAAAATACTTCCTTTTGTTTGTTTTAAACCTGCTGCCTATTTCATTTGGTGACCCCCTAGTTCTTATGTTCTGAGAAGGAGTAAATAACACTTCCTTATTTACTTTCTTCACACCAGTCAAGATTTTATAACCCTCAATCATATCCCCCCATAATGGTCTCTTTTCCAAGATGCAAAGTCCCAGTCTTATTAATCTCTCCTCATACGGAAGCTGTTCCAAACCCCTAATCATTTTTGTTGCCCTTTTCTGAACCTTTTCCAATTCCAATATATCTTTTTTGAGATGGGGCGACCACATCTGCACACAGTATTCAAGATGTGGGCGTACCATGGATTTATATAGAGGCAATGTGATATTTTCTGTCTTATTATTTCTCCCTTTCTTGATGATTCCCAATGTTCTGTTCGCTTTTTTGACGGCCGCTGCACATTGAGTGGATGATTTCAGAGAACTCTCCACAATGACTCCAAGATCTCCTTCTTGAGTGGTAACCGCTAATTTAGACCCCATCATTTTATATGTAGAGTTGGGATTATGTTTTCCAATGTGCATTACTTTGCATTTATCAACCCTGAATTTCACCTGCCATTGTGTTGCCCAGTCACGCAGTGTTGCAAGACAGTGTGATTCCAGTTCCAGCAGCACCAGTGTTCAGCTTCCAGAACTAGGAGGGCTAAAGGATCAAGACTGGCCTTGCACTGGGAGAGGTGCCAGGCAGAGCCGTCCCTTGGATAGGGTGTATCGGCCCCACGCTTTGGGGGACCCCGCGGGCCAGTGCCATTGGCCAGCACAGTTGGTCCCAGAAGAGATGAATCCATCACTTCCACCCCGGGCCCCGCACCCCCTTTGGGATGGCCCTGGTGCCAGGTGTCTAGAATGACGTGGGGCTCTTAATCTAGTTTGATTTCCCCATCCTGATAGGTATCAGGGGCTTCTTCTAAAACACAGGGGGGGTCTGTAGAATGCCAAGTCTCTTGAACTCTGGGTAGTGCTAGAATGCCCAGAACTCCGCAACTCCAAAAGTCTCTAGAACGCTTGGGGGTTCGAGGGCTCCAAAGGGATCTAGAACTTTTTCTGGGGGGGGTCCCCCTAAGGACTCCAAAAGGCACTAACACTCTTCGGGGTTCTGGAACTCCAAAAGCTCTCGAACTCTGGATCTGGAGGCTTTTTCAATCAGTCTAATCTCTTCCCCACCCACCAGCACTGGACGGTGGGAATGACTGGAAGCATTCTACCCTCTTTGGCCCCCCATCACTGGGGTTCCCAATGGTCTAGAAGACTTGGGGCTCAGCCCTGACCTTGAGGTGAAATAATTCCAGGGGCCGACAGTCATCACGAAATGATCACGTTTAATGAACAACCTCTTTCCTGGGTTGTTTTTTGTTGTTGTTGGCTGTTTTGGGATGGGGGTGTGTGTGTGTGGGTTTTTTTGTTTGTTTTTTTATATATACATCTATAAAAAATTCAAATACAGCATGTTAACTTTTGGAATACTAGGACATCAGGTATTAAATACTGCGCTCGGAACGGGCAGGGTGCTGTCTTACAAAACAGGACCGGGGTGTGGCGGGAGTGCGGGGAGGAGAGAACGAAGGATGGGGGCAACGGACGAGCGTGGGGGGGAGATACGTTTGTGTCGTACAGTTCCATTATGAATATTTGTTTTTCGGTAATAAGACAAATACAGAAACCGAGGCGCTTCCCTGTAGAAATGGAAGGGAGGTGATAAAAAGAGAGACAACCAGGCAACGGGACGGGGGAGAGTCGCAGACTTCACTGTAGCTATTGTCTCCTCGCTGATTTCGCCCGGGCTGGGGGGCACGGGTGGGGGGCTGGGAGGCGCCGGGAGTCCAGTGCAGGCGGACGGCGGAGGGAGGAGGGTCGGTGTGGCTGTTGTTCTCAGATTCCTGTTTCCTGTAAAAAAGAAAGCCCCCAATGCGCTCGTCTGCGCTCATGAAAACAGTGCTTATGTCCTCTGTCGCACGGGGGCTGGGGGTGGGGAACCGCATCTGGGGGGACTAAACCCCCCGCTGCCCCTCCAGCCTGGGGCTTCTGGAAGCCAGTTCAGTTCTTCGGCGCCCCCCCCGAGGAGCGGGTGGAGGGGGTCGCTCCCTTACGAGGCTCATTGTGGTTTCAAGGCCCCTCCCCTGTCCCGTGTGTGTTTGACACGTTTTGTCACCCGTGTTGTGGCAGCGGGGGCAGCAGGGCGCCGTGGGCGTGAAGCGAAGTAGCGAAGCATCTTTGGCATGGCGGTTTAGCTGTATGATCCGATCTCTCGCCCAGGGCGGCTGGCGCTCTCCTCTGCAGCGCGGCCGGGGTTGGCATCTCGCTGTTTGTGGGGGGGGGGCATCAGGGGAGTGGGGGTGTCTCTCTCGCTCTCTCTCTCTCTTTTTGTAAAGGTTCCGCGGTCCCCCCGGCAGTTCGGGGCGGGGAAATCCTCGCGGCGCGGCAGGTCTGTCCTTCTACAAAGTGAAGCGATGAAGAGAAATGTCATACGTCCGCCTTAACGTGTGCAAAATAGAAGAGAAAACAGATTCAGATGCGGGGGGGTGGTGGGTCTCCTCCGGGGTGGGGGCTGCGAGGAGGGGATCTGCAGGCAGGGAGAGGAACAGAGAGAGGGGTCACCGCCTGTGCTCAGGGGGGCTCCGAAAGCAGCACACTCAAGCGCGGTACAGTCGAAAGCCACAGCGCCACAGGCCAGAAGAGACCCACCAGATCATCCCATCTGACCTGCTGTATAGCACAGCCAGCCCCCCGCATGCTCCCCCCAGAACCTGGATTACAGCAAAGTGTTACAGGCCTCGGGAGCTTTGTATGCCACAGGCAGAGACCAGGAGTCACCGAGGAGCACCAGAGGCCAACACCTCGGCAATGGCAGGGAACTGACTGGGTGAGATAGACCCAGATGATCCCAGCAGGCGATCCATGCCCCACAGAGGAAGACAACCCCCCCACCCATCAAGAACACTGCCAATCTGACCTGGGAGAAAATGATCCCAACCCCAAATCTGGTGATCAGTTAGACCCGGAGCAAGACTCACCAGCCAAGCACCCAAGAAAGGGAATTCTCAGGGCCATCTCAGGGCGCCAGCACACCCCAAATAGACACCCCAAATGTCTCATCTCCACCCCGACCATCTCTGATGCTTCAGACCAAAAAACCCACAAACCCCAGAATACAATAGGGAAAAAATTCCCTCCCAAAGCCCTCCAGGTGGTGGCTGAAGCCCTGAAGCATGAGACAGGTAGATTTATAGCTACACAGATTGGCCCTTGCCCCTATCCCTGGGGTGCCCCCACTTTGCATCACAGCGAAAAGAATCCACAGACTGCCGTCAGAGGGCAGGGATCCCAGAAATCCTGGCCCCACTGCAATTACTGGAAGTTTTGCTATTAACTTTAATGAGGTGAGGAGTTCATCACTCTGGAAAACGGAGATCTCCCCTCACTGGTAGCAGTAGGGGGTCCCTTATTCTTTGAAACTCCGCCTCCAACAGGGAGTGCACTGCTTCAAGGCTCAATGGCAGAGCGAAGCCTTTGATTCTGAACCGTCCCCGTGTTCCAGGCTAAGCAGACCGCGTGCACGCAGGCCGGGTAGAGTTGCCAATTTTGGTTGGACGTATTCCTGGAGGTTTCATCTCATGACATAATCTTTAATTAAAGATTAATCTCTAATTCCTGGAGACTCCAGGACAATCCTGGAGCGTTGGCAATCCCAAGTTTGTGTGCGCATCACTCTGTGTGTGGACGCATACGTGAATGTGTGAGTGTGTGTGTGTGTGTGTCCATGCATGGGCATGAGTGTGCACGATTGTGTGGCTGTACCTATGGGCATTCATGCATGCCTTTGTGTGCGTGTACATTTGTGTACGGGGCTGTGCGTGCATGTGTCTGAGTACATCCGTATGTTCCTCACAGACTCATCGACTTTAAGGCCAGAAGGGGCCATCATGATCATTTAGTCTGACCTCCTTCACGTTGCAGGCCACAGAACCTCACCCCCCACTCCTGTTACAGACCCTCTGGCTGAGCTGCTGACGTCCTCAAATCTTGCTTTAAAGACTTCAAGTGACAGAGAACCCACCATGGCCACTAGTTTAAACCAGCAAGTGACCCACGCTGCAGCGGAAGGCGAAACCCCCCCAGGGTCTCTGCCAATCTGACCCAGAGGAAAATTCCTTCCCAACCCCAAATATGGCGATCAGTTAGACCCGGAGCATGTGGGCGAGACCCACCAGCCAGACACCTGGGAAAGCATTCTCTGTAGTAACTCAGAACCCTCCCCATGTAGTGTCCCATCTCTGGCCATTGGAGATATTTGCTCATAGCATTTGCGGATTGGCCATATGCCGTTGTCGGCTACCTCTTTATACTGTCCCCTCCGTAAATTTATCAAGGTGAGTCTTGAAGCCAGGTAGCTTTTTTGCCCCAACTGCTCCCCTTGGCAGGCTGTTCCAGAACTTCACTCCTCCGATGGTTAGAAACCTTTGTCTCATTTCAAGTCTAAACTTGTTGATGGCTAGTTTCTATCCATTTGTTCTTGTGTCCACACTGGTGCTTAACTTCAGTAACTCCTCTCCCTCCCTGATATTTATCTCTCTGATGTATTTAGAGAGAGCAATCAGATCGCCCCTCAGCCTTTGTTTGGTTATGATAAACAAGCCAAGCTCCTTGAGTTTCCTCTCAGAAGGGAGGTTTTCCATTCCTCTGATCATCCTAGTCGCGCTTCTCTGCACCTGTTCCAGTTTGAATTCATCTTTCTTAAACATGGGAGACTAGAATATGTATGTACACGTGGGTATGTTTGCTTGCTAAGCTTTCTAGTTAATTTTTAAAGTAGGTGGGAAAAGTTTTAAAAATTGTTTGGGAGCCTTTTGAAAAATTTCAGACCATTTTGTGCCTCTTCCCTTGAGAACGGCTGAATTTTTCTTTTGCTTTTTTCACCTTTTCTTAAATCCATATCTTTTTAGATTTAAAAAAGTTGCAGTTTTTCCAAACAGAAATGTTTTGGACATTGAAATCAACATTTTTTTCAGCCCAAACATTTTCAGTTTTGCAAAATACCACGGTGTGAGTCGGCTGGCCCAGCAAACGGGTTCTGTGTGTGTGTGTGTGTGTGTTTGTATCTGTGTGTGTGATTTCTGTTTTTGAAAAATGATCAAATTTAGTCCAAAAAACTCCACCACATTTCAAACAAACAATCTTATCACGCTCTTGATTTGGGACCCAGCTCTCATTTTAACTAAGGCCCTTTCCCCTTCGCTTGCCCAGCAGATGAGATTAGAGTGAAAACGCCTCTAGGAAACCCTGGCAAACCTTCCTTCTTGAAATACCCTTTAGTCATGATGATACTCACAACACTGACCCCCGTCCCACCCCCAAATCTGAGCACTGACACCCCCTTCTACGCAATACTGACATCCTTTTGTACTGCAAAGCCCCACTGCGAGAAACAAGACTCAACCCGTCCCCCCAAACAACACCAACGAATCAAATCACCCCCCCCAATCAGCACTCTGACCCCCAAAAGAGAGATAGGCCAGAGACTTTACTACTGCTCTTGATTTTACATGAAAGGCACCCAGACACCGTGGTGATGGGCAGCAGGCTAAAACAGATTAGAATAGACAGACAGACAGATGTGCATGGGGGTTAGTTAGATAGATAGATAGATAGATCTAACAGGCATCTTGTGTCTCCAGTGTCCCGGGCTACATCTCCACTGGCAAGGTGTGTTTTTCTCCCAGGATACCTAACACCCATTATCTCTGCCACTGTGCAATCCTGGTGGAGACAAGGCTCCACAGTGCGACTGCGAGATGAACTAGGGGAGGCCGACCCAGCACAGGGGTCTAGTGCTGGCCTGGCCTAGCTCCTTGCTGGTAACGCTACCGGTGCCTTTTGCGGGGTAGTTACCTCACAGTGAACAAACACTTTGGTGCCAGTGAAGAGCACGCCAAGGACTCTGCGTACTGCGCTGCGAGTGTGACTGTCCCATTCTGGCGGCCCGTGCGTGGCTAGTTTGGCTCCAGCCCAGTGAGGACGGGCAGGAGGGATCTGCCGGAGCTTGTGAATACTTACTAAATAAACAGAACGCCAGCTGCTGCCAGTACCAATCCCGCCGCCCAGGACATGGTCACGGCCCCGCTGCCGACAACGGCCTCCTGGTCGCAGATCTTGGTGGTGGGGGGCGGCACGAAGGAGGAGCTGCTGGTGGTGGTCGTCTCTGGAGCGAGGGAAAGGAACAGCCTGCAGATGGGCCAACAGGCAGCTACGGTCTGCATCGCCTCCTGCCCGCTTCACCTTCCCTCCAAGCTACAGGCCCGCCCTGGCACGGCACGGATGGCAGCGCCTCTCCCAGGCCAGGGCTCACCATGCCAGCATGTCTATTAAAAGCCCTTTGCCCATCCGGCAGCCTCCTGACAATACTTTCCTGGATTAGGAAAATCTGTCTGCCCCCCCATCATCTCATCAGCTAGCCTCTTGCTTTGTTTAGTCTCTCTGTGCACTTGTGTATCCAGCCCTCCCTCACCACACTAGCCATGAGCCCCGATTAATTTCCCCTTTACCTCCTCTGGCTGAAGGGGGCTGGGCATGGCTCCCTTTGCTCTGGGCACTGCCCTGGGAACTGGACATTGGCATGACCTGTCCTCCCTCAGCCCCCCACCCCCAATCTGAGGGGCCTGGCATGCAGCCTCAGCAAGAGCTCTGCGCCCCCGCTGGGCTGGGTTATGAGCATTGCAGCCTCCTGGGTGGGCCTCAGCTCTGCACAGCTCCTTGGGGTGCCCGGTCTTTGATGCCCGTGTCTCCCAAGGGACCTGCTCAGAGCTTTCTGCAAGCCCAGCTCCACTGGAGCCCCATGTTAAACAGAATGGCCAGCAGAGGGCACCATCCCCCCACAGAAATGTCCCCGAGGGTGCCAGGGCGGATTTGGGGATGCCCAAAGGCAGAGTGGCCAAAGCCTGCGACGGGAACCGGCAGGGGTTATGGGGAGCCGGGAGACGCAGCACAGGCCGTTGGCCCGCCCACGTGAAGGGAGAGCCACGGCCGGGCTGCACCTCGCAGGTCGGGCTGGGGTGTCCTCCCCAGGTCGAAACGCGGAGGTCTCTGCTCTGGGGGGACCGGCTGGTGATAGCGGCTCGAGGGGGGTAGCTCAACTTTACTGCCATACGTGGCTGGCGTCCTCCGTGAGGGGGCCTGGGTTGAGAGAGAGAGCTCCCGGTGGGAGTGCACTCGCGTGGGTGGTGATTTGGGCTCACCCATGGGGAAATCTGACCAGCCCCATCTCCCTTTGGGGTCATCCCCCATTTTAGGATGCTCCCGACTCCCATGGGCATGTGCCGTGTCCTGCAAGGTGGCACCTGCAGAGGGTGAACAGGGCCGTGACTCCACACAGGGGCCCAGGCCCTTCGCTGGGTCTGGGCAGGGGAACGTTGTGGCCCAACCGGGCTGTGATGAATGAGGCGTGAGCAGGTGCTGCCTCCCAGCCTGGTTTCCGGAGGCCTCACCTCACCATATGCACCGACCCCCCCTGACATCACTGGCCTATGACATCACCAGCACGGTGGGGGCAAGTTTCATGACATCATCAGACATGTCAGTCTTCATGGTGTCGTCAGGGCTGTGATGCAAGGTCTCTGACATCACCCTCACAGCACGTCACGTGCTTTGAGACGCCCTTAGCATCAGCGAGGCCTGTCAGGAGCTTTATGACATCATGAGCACAGCAAGTCACAAGTTTCATGACCTCATCAGCCTGCGCCCCTGGATCAGCTACAGCATACTGTATCCTGGCATACAGCCCCCCCCACCCCACCCCCCAGCCTTGCACTTGGAGGTCAGTCCTCCAAGGAGGTCAGACATTCCCGTATTCCCCCCCAAGAGCAGGTCCGGGGGGGGAGCCCTAACCCGGAATTCCCTCCGGCCCTTCTGGGGCCCCCACTTCCATAGCGCTGCCAGAGTTGAATCACTGCCACTTTCCTAGCAGCAAACAGCTGCTCATGCTTTTAGATCTAACTGGTGCCACCGGGCAGGAGCCAAGGGCCAGCAGAGTCAGTCCAACAGCTGGAGAGCAGGCCCGGGGGAACCAGGCCACTCGTCACACGCTGACTGGAACTGTCATGGGGGGCCATGGGCCAATCTTGGCGGGGTGGGGGGAGGATCTCAGCAGGTGCTTAGCCAAACCTCTCCAAGGTGTCCAGGAGACAGAGAAAGGGAGGAGCAGAGGCTAATTCAGAGGGGTCCGTTGCAGCTCAGCTATTTCAGAGCGATTGTCATCAAGAGGTGTGCAAACAGGGGGTGCATGTGAGAACTTTGTGTGTGTGTGTGTGCATGCAAGTCATGTGTGTGCATTCAAGGTGGTGTGTGCATGCATATGAAGAGGTGTGTGTGAGTCAACCTGCAGCAACACTTGTATAGTTTGTCACACTCACAAAGGATTAGTTAACTGAACAGGAGAAAACCAGGCATGTGTGTGTATTCATGTGAGCGTTCACACGCCCCAGGGAGTGTCTGTGAGCGAGTATAGCTGTGTGTGTAAATGGGTGAATGCCTGCATGTTTGTAAGCATTTGGGTGTATGTTTGTGTGATGTTGGGGTGTGTGTGTCTGTATGTGTGTTACTTTGCAAGGGTTTGTGTATGCGTCCGAGGCAGCATGTGTCTGAACGGCTGCAAACTCCCGGCTCTGTCTGATAAGCTTCATGCAGCAAAGTCCTGGCAGGTGCCGCAGCCTCCAGAGGGCAAATCTCAGTGTATCTTCCTTCAGCTTGAGAGCAAGCAGCCTGGGCTTCTTCCTCCGGACTGCAGCATCGAGTGCCTCCTCGCTCGCCTGCATGCCCCATGTGGGCGAGGCTCCTTTGACTCACACAGCTAACAGCCCAAGGATTTGCACACACACACACACACACACACACACACACACACACAGAGTGTCAGCAGTGCCAAGGCCTTGCACACCCACGACCGGTAGTGGCAAAGATTTGTGCAGTGCTGAGAATTTGGACGCTGTCCCAGTTCTCTGTGAGAAGCAGTGATTTATTTGCTCTGGGGATGTGGATTGCCCAACCTCCTGGCAGTCAGTGCCAGTTGGGGGAACCAAGCCGGGGTCCGCTCCAGTCCTTCTGGGAAACCGAAGGCCGACGTCGTGAATTTGGACGCGGTCCCAGCTCTTTCCTAGAAACAGGGGCTTGTTAACTTTGTGCCTTTTCTTTCTAATTGGTGTGGCTCCGAGCCATTGTGCGGGATCAGGGGAGCTGGGGGGCAGCACTCCACTGAATAATAACCTTCCTATGAATCCTTAGTGCTTCTTCGCAAGCTGGAGGCCAGAGCTGGGAGGAGCTGAGTCAGCAGAGGCCAGGCCACCATCTGACATGCCGGCTGAAACGCTGTAACGCAGCTGGGGGGAGTGCGCCCGCCGTGGGGATGGTACATGGCCCGGTCCCGGTGGAGGCCAAACCTAGTTGGCTCTTAGCCAAACCTCTCGAAGGTGTCAGGGCAAGAGACAGAAGCAGAGGCTAATTCTGAGGGAGCCTGTCGGGCTCCGTTGTTTCCGAGCAGCGTGTGTGTGGATTTGTGGACAGGTGTTTTGTGCGTGTGTGAGCAAACAGGACATTTGCACGTGTGTGTTGTGTGTCAAGGAGAGAGAGAAGCACGGGCAAGTGCTTAGCCCAGGGACTGGATAAGTTTGAATCCAAGCTCGGAAGCTGCGTCACTCTGGCCAGGGGTGAGTTGCCGAGGTCCAGCTGGCAAAGGTCTCTGCTAGTTTGGGGGGCCCAGCCTGGGAGGCTGGAAATGCTGTGAGCTGGGCACCCACATCTAGCTGGCTCTTTGAAACCTTGGGCTTTAACCTTCCTGTGCCTCAGTTTACCCATCTGTCCAATGGGGAAGGGCGGGAGGCGCTCTTAAGGTTAATTAGCCCGTTTGTAGGTGTGTGTGACCAGAGATGGACAAAATGCAACAGCTCGAGGTGGAGGGAGGAGGCGTCTGGCCCGAGTCACGGCCTGGGACAGGCTGGAGGGAGCCCCGTCAGATGCACTGACAACACCAAGGGGCTTGGGCCTTGTCTCACGTTTCGTTCCTCCCCACTCTCTGGCAGGAGCCCCAGTCTCACAGCTGGGCAGAGCCAGTGTGGACAGCATAGGCATTATGGGCCCACACCTAGGGCCCCAGCCCCTGGAGGCACGTGATGAATCCGAATCTCAACTGCCATTTAAAAGTAAAAACAACGAGGAGTCCGTGTGACACCTTAGAGACTAACACATTTATTTGGGCATAAGCTTTTGTGGGCTAAAACCCACTTCATCAGATGCATGGAGTGGAAAATACAGTAAGCAGTATATATATCACAGCACATGAAAAGATGAGAGTTGCCTTACCAAGTGGGGGGAGGAGGGGGTCAGTGCTAATTAGGCCAATTCAATTAAGGTGGAAGTGGCCTATTCTCAACAGTTGACAAGAAGGGGTGAATATCAAGAGAGGGAAAATTACTTTTGTAGTGTTAATGAGGGCAATGCAATCCAGGTGGACGTTGGCCATTTCCAACAGTTGACAAGAAGATGTGAGTATCAACAGAGGGAAAATTACTTTTTGTAGTGACCCAGTCACTCCCAGTCTCTATTCAAGCCTAATTTGATGGTGTCCAGTTTGCAAATTAATTCCAGTTCTGCAGTTTCTCTTTGGAGTCTGTTTTTGAAGTTTTTTTGTTGAAGAATGGCCACTTTTACATCTGTTATTGAGTGTCCAGGGAGATTGAAGTGCTCTCCTACTGGTTTTTGAATGTTACACTTCTTGATGTCTGTCTTCCAAGATCTGTGAGAGTGAGGGATCGTCCTTCAGGATAGGTTGTAGATCCTTGATGATGTGCTGGAGAGGTTTTAGTTAACAGAATGCCACTAGCCGTCACCTACAGCCCCCAACTAAAACCTCTCCAGCACATCATCAAGGATCTACAACGTATCCTGAAGGACGGTCCCTCACTCTCACAGACCTTGGGAGACAGGCCAGTTCTCGCTTACAGACAGCCCCCCAACCTGAAGCAAATACTCACCAGCAGCTACACACCACACAACAAAAACACTAACCCAGGAACCAATACCTGCAACAAACCCCGGTGACAACTCTGTCTGCTTATTTATTCAAGGGACACCATCACAGGACCCGACCACATCAGAAACACCATCAGGGGCTCATTCCCCTGCACATCTACCATTGTGATATATGCCATCACGTGCCAGCAATGCCCCTCCGCCATGTACATTGGCCAAACCAGACAGTCTCTACGCAAAAGAATAAATGGACACAAATCAGATGTCAGGAATCATAACACTTCACTCTCTCTGGACACTCAATAACAGACTTAAAAGTGGCAATTTGATCGCATTGCCCTTGTTAACACTACAAAAGTAATTTTCCCTCTCTTGATATTCACCCCTTCTTGTCAACTGTTGAGAATAGGCCACTTCCACATTAATTGAATTGGCCTCATTAGCACTGACCCCACACTTAGTAAGGCAACTCCCATCTTTTCATGTGCTGTATATATAAACTGCTGACTGTATTTTTCACTCCATGCATCTGATGAAGTGGGTTTTAGCCCACGAAATCTTCTGCCCAACTAAATTGGTTAGTCTCTAAGGTGCCACAAGGACTCCTCACTGTTTTTGCTGATGCAGACTAACACGGCTGCTACTCTGAAACCATTGAAAAGTGATGTGTTTCTGTCCTTCATGGATGCAGAGAAAAGCTTGAAAATGTGCCCTAAGTTAACTGATGCCTACCTGAGTATGCAGAGAGCCTGAAACAATAGCTCCAGGAGCTGGGGACTGCCCCCTGCACCTGGATCCTGAAACCTGCTGCCACCGGAAGGGCAGGGCCCCGGGGGCCCTGGGCTGCTTTCACTCAGTCTCATGACTGCCAGTGCTCCTGGCCTCCAGCTCTCCCATGAGGCAGTGCGCCAGCTTGACAGGGTGAGGTCTAGTGGATTAGAGACTGGACAGCAGGACTCCTGGTTCTGTCCCCGGCACTGGGAGGATAGTGGGGTCTAGTGGTCAAAGCAGGAGGCTGGGAGCCAGGACTCCTGGCTTCTCTTCCCGACTCTGCTCCTTGTGGTGTGAACTTGGGCAACCCCCTTCCCCACCCTTCGCGGGGCCCGCCTCCCCGCCTCCCCTCAGCTGTGCAGCAGCGGTGATGCCAAGCCCTTGGCAGGAGAGGGGTCAAACCCCCGGGCCCTGCTGCACCGTCCCGGCTGGGCCTGGCACCCTCACCTGCCACCGGGGCTTCCGTGGTGAGGTGCTTGGGCTCCTCCGTCCAGGGCGTGGCGTGCACAGCGACGCTCCAGTCGCTCCACGTGCCGATGTCGTTGTCCTTGGCGGCCACCTGGATGATGTACTCCTTGCCGGCGTAGGCGTCGGTGATGGTGTGGGACGTCCCGTCGGACAGCTCCACCTGCATGGGGAGAGGGGAGGGGGCGGTCACCGGGATGCGGCCGCGTCCCTAGGGGAAGGCCTGTGGAGAGACCCTAGAGGGGAGCGGGGGGCTTGGGCAGGGCCTCTCCTTGGGTGTGGACGGGGAGCTAGGACCATGGGCGGGGGGGTGGAGCACCGTGGAGCAGAGAAACTGACCACGGCTAGAGCAGGAGGGGCGTGGGCCACATCCCCATTACAGGGCGACATGAATGCTACAGCCTGTCACTTCTGCAGGCCAGTTTCACAGGGAGCCTGAGATCCCCTGGAGTGGGACAGGGCTGTGGGGCTGACCTGGGCAGCCCTCCATGTACCCAGCTCCCACCAGCCTCAACAGGGCCTGGGGGCTTCAGGATCAGGCCTGGGGAGAAAGAATGGGAAAGGGAGGAGGATGGAGGGATGGGGATGGGGGAATGGAGCGGGAGAGGGAAGGGGAGGGACACAGGGATGGGGGAATGGAGGGGGAGGGGATGGGGGACAGGGATGGGGGAATGGAGGGGGGATGGGGAAATGGAGGGGGATGGGGGACAGGGATGGGGGGGAGATGGGGGAGAATGGAGGGGGGATGGGGGACAGGGATGGGGTGATGGGAGAATAGAGGGGATGGGGCACAGAGATGGGGGAATGGAGGGGGAGGCGATGGGGGACAGGATGGGTGATGGAGGAATGGAGTGGGAGGGGATAGGGCACAGGGATGGGGGAATGGAGGGGGGATGAGGGAATGGAGGGGGAAGGGATGGGGCACAGGGGTGGGGGAATGGAGGGGGGATGGGGGAATGGAGGGGGGGGATGGGGCGGGGTGGGGGATGGAGGAGGGGATGGGGAGGGAATGGAGGGGGGGGGATGGGACACAGGGGGGGGATGGGGGGGGGAATGGAGGGGGAGGGGATGGGGCACAGGGGTGGGGGGAATGGAGGAGGGGATGGGGAGGGGGAAATGGAGGGGGAGGGGATGGGACACAGGGGAGGGGGGATGGGTGAGGGGGGAATGGAGGGAGAGGGAATGGGGCACGGGGGTGGGGGAATGGAGGAGGGGATGGGAGGGGGGAACGGAGGGGGAGGGGATGGGGCACAGGGATGGGGGAATGGAGGGAGGGGGGATGGGGCACAGGGTGGGGGAATGGAGGGAGAGGGAATGGGGCACGGGGGTGAGGGAATGGAGGAGGGGATGGGAGGGGGGAACGGAGGGGGAGGGGATGGGGCACAGGGATGGGGAGACGGAGGAATGGAGGGGCAGGGGAGACAGGGAACTGGAGCCGAGAGGAGGAATCGTAGCTTGGCAGGGGGGGGGGGGTCGTCATGGCTGCCCGTCTGTCAGGTGCCAGAGGCTGGGCCAGGGTGGTGGCGCGAGTTCTGAGCAGCCGCAGAGCGCGCGCCAGGCGCTGCACAGCGGGAGCAGGGGGACGGCCGACCTCCACCCCCAAGGCTGGTCACCGCGTCCCTGACACCAGTCTGGCGGCTCCTCTCCGCTGGGGATGGGGTGGGGGCCAAGGCAGGGCTGGAGCCAGCCGCCTCCTCTGCCCTCCCCCCGAGCCCCGCGCAGGAGGGTCCGTCATTCCCGGTCGGGCTGGGCCCAGGATGTCCCCCCGACCAGAGCGCGGCCCGACGGACCGGCCGAAGCAGCAGGCCAGCCGGCCTGCTCGGGCAGTGCCCGTGAGCACCAGAGTCAGCGAGACGGGCAGACACGGCTGGGGAGAGACCCGAGAGCCAGAGGGGAGGGACAGAGACAGATCGCAGAGGGGGCCAGGGCTCCGCCGGCTGTCCCTCCGCCCCGCTGGCAGCGCTCAGCCCGCAAGGCAGGGAGCGAGCGACCCTGGCCGTGCCCCGGGCACCCCCAGCCCTGCCTGCGGGGGACGCTGCGCAGGGGGAGCTGGCTGCAGAAGGCTGGGAGGCCAGGCCCGGCGTGGTCTGTCCCCACACCCGAGAGGCTGAGCCCCAGCCGAGCACTGTCTGAGCCCCAGATCCTCAGCCCCTGCTGCCCTCTGGTGCCCCACTCCCAGCCACGATGCCCAGGGCACCCGGCACCAGCCCAGAGGGGCCCAGGTCAGCCCTGGGGCGTCCCTTACCCAAGGCTTTCTTTCCGGGGGAGGAGGGGGCTTTACACAGACAACGCACTCTGTGGCTTCTGGGCCGATGCAGGGAACGACCCCTCCCACTGTCAGGCAGCGCTTGGGGCGGGGTGGGGGAGCCGACGTGGCCTGTTTGTGAGGTTTCCTCCTAGCCACGAAGCCTGGAAACTCCATTGTTTTCAAATGAAAGCGGGGATTTTGGAGCACAGCTCTGGGGCGCGGGGGGTGAACTCGGCAGCTGCTGTGGGACCAAATCCAGGGGGCTCTGCTCCGTCATAAGCAACCCTACCATAACACACCAGGCGCTCAGCCCCGCGCGAATGAGCGACCCTCCGGTCATGAGCAAGCCCACAGCAACGGACGGTGGCTGGCATGCCTAACCCACCTACAGCAACATGAATGCCCAGCCCTCCGGCGCACCTTACGACAACAAATCAGCGCGCGTAGCCCAGCACTCAGGGACAGCCCGCCACTAACAAAGCAGCCCGCACGTGAGAGGGAAGGAAAAGCACTACAGGGCAAGAGAGCTCTCAGGTTTAGGCTTTCGGGGGGCTCAGCATAAAGGGGAAAGGAAACCGCTTCGTAAAGTGCTGGGGAGCTGTTGGTGCCAGGATGTCGGACAGACGGGGTGGGGAAGGCAAGGCCTTCCATTGGCCCCACTTCTGTGGGAGAGAGACACGAAAACGCACGGCATTCCTGCTCGAGCGAAGGCCGGACAGACTGTGGAAAGGACCCCCCGGCGGACTCCCGGAGACAGCCCCTCTCCAAGCCCCACTCAGGATTTCCGCTGCGAGCCCACGTCCCACCATACTCCAGGAGCTGGCTCCCTGGGGCTGCGGGAGGTGCCGTGTCCACCCCGCGTTACGGGAGGGTTGACCAGCGGCCGCACGGCACTCTTGGTGCGATGGGTTAACGCCGAGCCATTCTCCCTCGCGACCTCTGGGACCCTGGGCTTGAGTTCGATCTCGGCCACAAGTCAAATGGGCCAGTGGGTCTCGCCTCACCCCCCAGCCGGTGTCTGTCCACACAGGTGCCAGCTTTCTTCTTGCCGGGTGGGTGCTCCACCCCTACTCTGCCCCCGAGGCCATGCCCCCACCCCGCCCCTTCCCCCAAGGCCCCACTCTCGCCACCTCTTCCCACCCCCTTCCCCCAGCGCCTCCTGCCCACTGCCAGCTGATCGTCGGGTGGTTGGCGGGTGGTGAGCACCCACTATTGAGGGGATCAGCAGAAAGGGGGAGGGGGGCTGCGGGGGGGCAGGTTGGACAAGCAGGGGGGCTGCAAGTCAGAATGGAGGTGCATCGGTGCAGCTCTGGGCGGGGAGGCTACGACTGGAAAAGCAGGGGGGCTGCAGGTCAGGGCTGGGGGGGCACTGACAAGGGGAGTGTGGGGGAAGCTGGAAGACAGAACTGAGGCATGCTGGGAGTGCTGCACGGGGACGTACCTGTGCTGGGCCTTACTGACACGGGAGGGTCACGCCGGTTACACGTACACTGTGTTTAACAACCAGCCCTCACGCTGCGAAACCAAAGAGGCGAGGCTCCTTATTCTGCACGGACAATGGCAAATAGTGAAGCCAGGGGAAATCTCTCTCCCTCCTCCCACGCCTCCTGGGGCAGAGCAAGTGGGTTCCTCGGTGGCAGCTGGCTGAGAACCTGGGTGGTGCAAGAAGCGGGTTTGCTCGAGGCAAACGCTGGCTTGAAGGCCCATCTCCGGAGCACAGTCTATTAGACACACAGCGCAGTAAGAGCTCAGGCCGATCGACTCTTACAGGATCTCTTGGCTTTTGCCCTTGGGCACATGACATTGGGCATGTCGACACTACAATCTTCAGTCCACCTATGTACAGGGAGAAGCCGCCCGTGGCTTCTTGCCTCCGGTGGGGAGATCCACGCCTAGAGTCCGGTCAGCTGCCGTGCTCCCAGCGGGGAGCTGGGACCCCAGGGGGCAGCAGCCCACACCAGGAGCCTGGGTGGCAGCAAAGCTGGGGAGCTGGGAGCCGGCCTTCTTGTCAGTGTCCCCGCTCCAGCTGCCTTATGTCGACCTAACTCTGTAGCTTAGACCAAGCCATTGACTGAATGCAGGAACAGAGTCAGCTACATTTCCCTGAAGGCTAGCTCAGCACCCTGGATTTTGCAGGCTCGTATCTGAGATCTCCTCGGCTGAATTCTGCACTGGAGTTCGGGGCTGGTTCTCACTTCATCCAAATCCACTTGCTTGGCCCTACTTGATATGTCTTCAGTGCTGTGCATCCCAGATCCTCCCCAGGTGTGACCCGGCACCACGGCACTGGCTTCAACGGCGCGATGTCAGTTTTTACCAGCTGAGGATCTGTCCCATTCCATTTAAAATAACACAGGGACATTATGACTTGCCATAAAGAAACAGAGCAATGGTCCATCGAGCCTGGTGCCCTGGCTCCCTGCAATGCTGGGTCAGGCCAATGGCCCATGGAGTCAGATGTCCCGTCTCTCTGGCATACCCGACCAAACACACCCTCCACTCCTCTCATGGCAGGTCCAGTGCCAGGCGTGTAGGAATTAAATCCCCTGCATTTGCCCACTCACCTCCCCGCATGGCTCTTTCCTGGCCTTGGATACAGGTCAGTGTTACGTGACGTATGCAAAGTGTTTGATCAAATCCAGGGGCCATGCACTGATTCGCCTGATGCGCACGTCTGCATGTGTGGACACCATGGGACTTCCACGCAGGCAGAAGGAGCGAGGACGTGCACCTGCCTTCCAGTCACACCACATCATCTGGTGTCAGTCCCCCTGGCACCGCAGCCAGAAACCTGCAGCCCATGGACCCCCTAGATGGGCGCTGTCAGATGGCCGTCATGTCTGTCACAAGAAACCTCCAGATTAACAGGACGATGGTACCCTCCTGCGAGCCCTGCGTTTAACCCACGCGATGCC